GGCTCAGGGCTGGAAGGTGAGCTTGCAGATTGGGAAGGGCTGGGCTTTACAAACAGTGAGATCACACCTGGATTATTAGAAAAGTTATGAAATAACCAGATTGCATTTTTGGCTTCCTTTAGTCAAGGAAAATGCTTCTGCCTACAGCTGTTACTTGATATCAGAACAATAAGACTATTCTCAATTCACTGTAGCTGGGAGTTAGTCAGTATCCTAACAAAGGTTGTCCCATGTCTCAGAGCATCCTGAGTGTCCTCTCCCCAATCTTTCTTTTCTCCTAACAGAGAAACTAGGGATCCAAAGAAATCTACTGCATAAGGCTTAACAGAAAGATTATCATTTTCTCCATTGATTACAAATGATAATCATAATTTGTTTTTTCTTTATATAAAATGTGAGCCAGAAGAAACAGAGGTTGCCTCTATATCATGAGCATATAGAGGTGTGAGCGTTGGGAGCCTGATTACATTCTTCTTAAACAATTTCTTTGTCATGGACACCCTTATTTCTTCCATAATCTGCTCTATTCCAACTTCAGACTATTTTAAAACAAATCATAGAGACTGTATTATTTTTCAGTAAATCATTCAATGTCAGCATCAAATTGATACCCTTTGAACATAGTCATAAACCATTTTTAAATCTTAAAAATATATGCATTCCTTAAAGTCAACAAATGTCTATTGGATCTCCCAATATCCCTCTAGATAGTATTAATTTTATATTTTATTTTTTCCAAATCAAGATTCCCAATAAGCACCATGTATGTATTACGTGAGTGACATATATTTTAAATGTCTTTCGAATAATTAAAAATTTAAAATACCCCTTCATTTTCTCCTGATTAATTTGTTAAGAAAACTAGGTGAATTGTAGTATATAGTCTTTCAGTCTGTGGATATTTCTGACTTCGTGTTCCTGGGGTTCATCTGACATGCTACTTTGTCCTTTCTATTTTCTACCAACTGATAGTAAACAATAGAAATGTATTAAGATTTCTCTCTATATATAAACATTCCCTATGTGCACATAGTAGATTGCCTGTTTAAATATTAGACATTGTTATCTACACATTCACTCATATATTTACAAATTAAATTCATAATGCTTTTTAAAATATTTTGTTAATTGTTTTGTAGTACATGTTGAAGGAACAACATATATGTTCATGGCCATCCTCAATCACCCAGTTCCTATATATGAAGGAAATTAATGTTATCAATTCCTTTTGTATCTATCTCACAATTTTAGTTGGACATTTCAGTGCTGTTACAAGGGCATATATGAATAAGAGCCCACTAGAGAGGTGGGGGTTTATATGTGTAGAGAGAGAGCGGCAATGCAGAAAGGTATTTAAATAAATAAATAAATGTTTACCTTATTTTTCTATTGCTTTCATTTTGGGAGTGTGGATCCTGTCATGGTTCTCTTCTGGCACGTTCTCCTCTTTGGATGAGGTGAATGCCTTCTAGAATTGCCATTTGCAAAAAAGTATTCTGAGATGAGGGCCATTTCTGTGGTAACAAGAATTCTCATTGTAACATAGGTCTGTGTGAATAATTCCTTTATTTTTAACTCAACCAACCCTACAAAGATCACTGCACACAGAAGCTCATGGTTTGCCATTTCTCTGCTTTCTTTGCTTTGCCAACTAAATGCTACCCCGAGGTCTTTTCTCTGATGCCTTATTTAGCTGTGCCTTCCCAGTTTTAAGAAACTGCTTGATGAATGGGGTCCTGACTGTGGCTCGAACACCCAGTTCTCTTGGATTCAAACAGGGATTCTTGGATTTCCACCTGTGGACATGCCCTCTATGTTGATGTAGGTGAGTTTCATGAGTCAACAGCGACTGGCTTGTAGCAAGACCTCAGTGTTAGGCTTTGTTTGGTTTTCCATTGTGGTTGCCATGTTGTCTGATTTTGATTTGTTTGTTTTGAGAGTGTCCTTCACTGGAGTTTTTTGTTTTTTGAAAGCCGCAGCTGTGGGCATCTTTTCTCTGAGCTTTCTGAACAATTTCATTTTGATTTTGGTTTCTGTGAGAACGTTCTTTTATTTTTTGACTTAGGGATTTTTAAATCTTTTATTTTGTTTTTTGAGGGTGGAATCTGCCTTTATGTTTCTTGTCCTCTATGTTGTTTTTAGGTAATTTCTAAGAAGGGGGAAATGCCTCTCTTTCCCCGACTACGTGAAATTCAGAAACTACCCATTCATCTATTTGTATTTAAGTTACCACATTTAAAATATTAATCTAAACTAATTAAAAATTTTTTCCACTATAACTTCATGAAAACCATTTTATTTAATTAATGGTCATTGCTCTCATAGCCTTGATCTTCCTTAGAGTCATTTTTGAATCACCTGAAGGTTTCCTAATAGGACATCATTTTTTTCCTGTCACTAGAAATTGCACAACATATTTGTGTTCTTCTTAATGTAACAAGCTATTTTATTGCTTACACAAACTTTGCATTATTGAAATCTGGAAGTGGATTCAATAATGAAAGAGATAAATTTAGAAACCTCCATATACCAGTATTTGCTCATCATTGTTTCATGCATCTACTACTTTTTTGGTTGAAATATCTTACAGAAAATCTGGAAATCAAGTGGCCTATTAATGTCTGATTGTATGTCTAATAATAAATTCATAATTTAATTGCATAACATTATTGTGTTTTTCATAACTGACAGTCATCCCTTAATGAATTCTAATGCCACTTCATATTGTGACCTTCTGATTATCAAAGATTCATTATTATGGCTTCTTTTCTTGAAGCAATGTCCTAACTAGGTTCACCTATCACATTCGGCTGCATCTCTTAAGATCCTTGATCTGATAGCAGAACCTGTCCTTTTCTTTGATATGCTGTTGATCTGTGAAAAAAATTTTTAGTTTCTTTCTATAAAGTGTCCTTATGCTGGATTTGGCTCATTATTTCTTCCTGGTATCACCCAATTCTTCTAGCCTCAGTTTTTCCTAGGTTCGACTAAGAATCATCGTAGAAACTTGATTACATTAGTTCCATTGTCATAGGCAAGAATGTGTGGTAGCTGCTGAGGTGTCCTCCCTCTGTTGTGTCACATTGCAAGGAACATAATGTTGGTTGTCCAATTTTTAGTCATGTTAAGACTGATGAGGGGATTTCAGTGATTTTAGCTTGCTCCTTCCATTACAAAATACACAAAGTTTTCAACTAAGATTTTACTTATTTTTTTATTTTAGGAAAAAAAGCATACTTAGAATTATCAATTGAATTCAGATTAGATGATTCCAAACTCTTCAGCAAGGTCCAAAGCATCATCATCAGGAGCCAGTAGAACCCATGCTTTCTTCTCTGCATCAGCCTGACCAGGGCACTGACCTTGGCCACTTCAGTGTTGTGGAGCTTCTTCACAGCCTGTTGGATCTGGTGCTTGTTGACCTTGACATCTACAATGAGCATGAGAGTGTTGTCTTCCCTCTTCATGCTGACTCAGTGGTAGGGGACCTTGGTGATGGTGCAGAGGTCAAGCTTGTTTCTCTGGACTCGCTCTTCCAAGGTGTTTTTTCTCCCTCTGGAGTGACGGAGGTGGGTGATGTGGACACCTTTCTGTGCTCCTCTTGGCCTTCAAAATCTTTGTTTTGGATTTGGATTTGGGAGGGGCAGGAGCTTCCTTCCTAGGATTCAGTGCCATCTTGGATAAAGGCTCATGTAAGATTTTAATGTTTCTTGATCAATTCTCAGATTTACTACTTCAATTCTTAGATTTCATGACTTTACTATTTCATTATAAATTTGTCTTTTTTTCTGATTTTTATCATGCCTTCATTAATTAGATGGGATTCATCTTCAAAGAAGGACTCTTCATTTACTTTTTAGGTAACCTAATATTCAATTCTTACTGGAAGGTCAAAATAAATGCCTGATTCTTTCCCTTTATTTGCCACCCTTGAGAGTAAGGAACTGGGGCTCTAGCAATCTCAAAATGTAATCAAAAAGGTTTTCTGTTAGGCCATTTCCTTTTTTAGATATACATGACAGTAGAGTGTATTTTGACATATTGCATGTACATGGAGTGTAATTTATTCTAATTAGGATCCCATTCTTGTGGTTGGATATGATGTGAAGTTTCACTGGTGGTGGACTTATATATGAACATAGGAAATTTATGTGGATTTCATTCTAGTTTCTTTCCTATTCTGATCCCTTCTCCCTTCCCACCATTCCCCTTTGTTTAATCCACTGAACTTCCTTCCCCTTATTGTGGTTAGCATCTGCTTGTCAGAGAGAACATTCAGGCTATTTTTGTTTGTTTGATTTGGGCATAATTATGGATATACATTTAAAAAATATATTTGGTGCGTTTCAGTTCATTGCCGTCATTAGTCCCCTCTGTGCTTAAATTGTCCTGCATGTCGCCAATGGGAGTTTTCCAGATTGGCTTCCATATCCTTTTTAAAAATATTTTTATTTGTTGTTGATGAATTATTTTATTTTATTTATTTATTTGTATGTGGTGCTGAGAAATGAACCCAGGGCCTCATGTAAGCTAGGCAAGTACTCTACCACTGATCCCAACCCCAGTCCCCTTCGTTATTCTTTTGACAGGATCCCATTCTTCTTTGATAGTTTCCTTGTTTTCTGGCATCAGATGGCTTGGGCTTACTTTTTACTCACCTTTCAGCAGACATGGAATCAGTCATTTCTCCAATTAGATCTGATTCTTTTTATAGGGTGATAATACACATAAATTTAGTGGCTGGGGTGCTCATTATCACCACGTTGTCATTGCTGAAAATCCCTTTTCAATGGACAGAGCTAAGAAAAATGTAAAAATGTATAAATAGCAACAAATCAGAGCATTATGCTGATATTTTCAACTCAAATAAGAGATTACAGGATGATTTTTATACCATTATATACATTTTCTCACATTGAAAAGCTTGGCTGTGATTGACATTCACACATCCTTTATGTGCTTTATCTTATAGCATACCTACAGTATCTCAAAATAACAATACCAATATTACTATTAGAAATAAGTCTTCTAAATGTAGTTTATGATTCCTTTGTGGAACTCTTTGTTCTAGAATATATCATAGTGTAGATGCAGATCTAAATTTTATATTTTGAAATCACTTGACATAAACTTTTTTCCTGTGTTTTTCATTTTTGAAGGTGTCTTTCTTGCTCCTTTTAATATTTAAAAACAATGTGTAAATCATTTACATAATTCAAGTAAAATACAAATAAGTTACATTCACAGAAGTCTTACTGCTATTCTTTTCTCCTTTCTCTACCCTGCACCCTTCCTTCTCCACCATGGGTAATAATTCTTCTTCTCCTTCTTCTTCTTTTTTTTTTTAACCAGGGATTGAACCCAGGGATGCTTAAACACTAGGCCACATCCCAAGCCCAGAGTCTTCCTAAATTGCTGAGCTGGCTTTGAACTTGCGATCCTCCTGCCTTAGCTATATGAGCTTCTGGGATTACAGGCATGTGCCACTGCACATGGCTCTTCTTCAATTTTGTTTATTCCTTGTGTTCCTTGCATTTTAATAACAGTCCTATATGTCTATATTCTTCCTTTTGACTTAAAATTAAAGCATCCTATATATGCTGTTCTGGAACTTGCTTATGCCTGAACATATCTGGAAGACCCTGCTTTTCTGAGTTCCCTTGGGAGAAGTAGATGATCAACTGACTTAGAAAGACAGAGTGAAGGAAAACTTTCCTGAGCATCCAGATGTACTCTAGGATAGTTAGCAGTTTTCAAAACAGAAGCAAAAATAACATCCTCCCTGAAGTGACAGAGCCAGGGGGCTGATATCAGATGACAGTGGCCTTAAAGAAAGAGCTTTTGAGGAGGGCAGGAGGCTGGAGACCATGAGACACTGGGGATGATGTGGTGTCTACAAGAGCACACCTCAGGGAATCACAAGAGGGTGATTTTTCCTTCTTATCTCTGCTTTCTAACACTGCAAGAAGGAGCCTCATGGGCAGATAGAGCCAAGTTCCTGGATCATAGGCTCTCAACCTCTTTTGGTAGAAGATGAGCTTGAACCTCCATCAGACTTCAGGGTGTGCTTGGTTTGGAGCAGTGCAGAGTGGGAAATGGGGAGCTCTTGCTTCCTGGTCACCAGGTGGGATCCCTCCTATGGCACTTGGTGTCCTAGAAGCACACAGAAGGCTTTCTGATTAAGACCAATGCTTGCTATAAAAGTATTGGAAGGTCAAAGGAACAAGTCAAGGCTGAGAGGTGTCCAAGGACCTGATTAGAAATCTATTTCCAAAGAGAGTTTCAGAGATGAAGGGATGAGGATGCTGGGGGTCTGGCAAGTGATGGCACCATGGAGAAGGTGAAGGGACCGCTGAGCAGGAGCCAGGAGAAAGGGATACAGTTACTGCCAGAGACAACACCACAACCCCTTTTTCCTCCCATCCTTTGATCTACTGCCAGCTTTTCTTAAGGCCAGTGACAACTAACAGTCAGCCAACAAGGAAGTCTGCAGGGCCGGCTCCTGGGGCATGGAGCAGCCTGTCTTAGCAATCTTTGGAGCATTCTCCCCTCTGAATGGGCTGCACCCTCCCTCACCTGAGACTGATTCCATGCCTGGGTGGCTGCAGTTCACACTGGACCATTCACAGGTAATCGGCTGCATCACAGAAAACTCAGGTAGATGGACTTTAGACATGCCCTCTAACAAGCAGAAGTTCTTAGATTTGAGGGTCTTATTTGTTATTAAAAAGATGTATTTGCTATCTTTTTCAGACACATGGACTGAAAAATCAAATCAAATATCTGACCAGTCTGTATTAAGGCATTGTTCCTTTCCTCAAAAGCTATCTATGTTGTTGTAAAAAGAATTAATTTCTTCTTATTCAGTCCCCACGGATGGAGGAATGTACTTTAAATGTTTCCTTCCCATGGACCTTAAATTTATGTTAAAAAAATTTTTTTTTGACATGGGCTCTCACTATGTTGCCCAGAGTGGCCTCAAACTCATGACCCTCCTGTCTCGGCCTCTGAGTATCTGGATTACAGGTTTGTGCCACCACATCCAGCTTGATGGGCCTCAAATGCAGAGACTGAAGCTCAGAACACTTTCTCTTCAGTACTAAAATGAATAACCATGTTTCATCTCAGACATTCCTAAAATTAAATCATTGTCAGGGAAATTATTTTCTCTTTTTTACAATTCTTTCTAGAGATGTTTCTAATAACTTTCAAATACATGCTCAATATCAAACTTTCAGAAAGTACACAAATTCTGAAAGTATCAAAGACTTGGTGACCTGAGATAAGTGCTATAATTATTTTATCATATATTCTTATATTCTATGATTTCTTTTCTTCTCTCTCTTTCCTTCTCTTCTTCCTTCCTCCACTAGTAATTTTGTACAAAATTAATGTTAGTTAAAAATACAGAAGGCATTTTAAACCCACACCTTAGGAATTTTTTAAATAAACTTTTTTATTTGGGGATAGATTTAGATAGAAAAATTGTGATGATGGTACAGAGAAGTCCCCTGTACACCACCAGCTTGCCCTATTATTATTGCTTCATATTTGTAAGGTACATTAGGTACAATGAAAGCACCAATGTAATATGTTATTAACCAGTCCATACTTCATATTTTTTCTTAGTTTTTACCCAATATCCTTTTTTTGTTCCAGAATCAAGCTATCATATATAATACATGTCATATGCCTCTTTTGTCTCTCTTGATTGAGTTTGTCAGGTTTCCTTGTTTTGATGACCTTGAAAGTTTTGGATAATACTGACCAAGTATTTTGTAGACTCTTGATTGGGCTTTGTCTGGTGTTATGTGAGTAGTCTGGGGTTCTGGGATTCTGGGGGGAGGACCACAGAGGTAGAGTTTCATTCTCATCACCCTACAACAAGGGTTCATGCTGTCAACATGACTTGTCGCTACTGTTGTGAACCTCAATCACCTTGCTAAGGTAGTTTGTCAGACTTCTTTGCTGTAAAGTTAAACTTCATCAAGGCTTAGTGCTGCAGAAAGGCATATGTGTCCAAAAAATGGACAGGGGGCCCAATGCTCCGGAGCCCCATACCACAAATATACGTAGCACTGGAGGAACCCAGCAACCCTATCAGGGTGGTGCCCAGGACACATTGTCCATCAGAGCCCTCATTAGACAAACCAGAGGGAGCGCAGGGTTGGACATCTGCGCCTCTGCCAGAGCAGTACTGACTCCAGAGATGGGAGTTCAAATCATTCCCACAGGGGTAAAAGGACCTCTTCCCCAAGGAACAGTAGGCTTATTATTGGGACGCAGCTCTTCTACTCTAAAAGGACTTATGATAAGTCCTTGGGTAATTAATTGATCCCGATTATGAAGGTGAAATAAAAATTATAGCCAGTTCTCCAAAGGGTATATCAGTAATTTCACCAGGAGATAGAATAGCATTGTTACTAATAATACCCAGCCTACATGATAAATTTTCCAGTGGAAAGAG